GGACCCCCCCCAGCCCCCTCCCTCCAAGCACTGAATGACTGTTGTGCCCGCCTCCCCCCGGAGCTGTCTCTCTTCCCCCCCACGTGGCGGATTCGCCCCCACACAGGCAGACACTGAGCTCTCCCCATGCTCCTTCCCCACTGGGCCCACGTGGGTGCTGCAGGAGCCCTAGTGCCTGCCAGGGGAGAAGCGAGCCGCCTACAGCAGCACGGCTGAGTCAGTGGAGCCCAGCCCCAGCCTGGTGCCACTGGGGTGCTGCTCTGCTGGGAACCAGGACCTGCCAGGGCCCCAATCCACCCAGGCGCCACCTCCATGCTGGCCGTGCCCTGATGGCTTAGCCCTGCCCTCTTGGTCATGGCCGGGGGCCCGGCCGCTCTCCCCCTCCTGCAAACACCCCGTCCGTACTCCACAGGCTGGGGAAAAACCAGACGGAGCCTGCGGCTGCAGAACCTTAGAGCATGTTTATTTTCACCTATGTCTACGCGCCCGAGCGCGGCCCAGCCCCCCAGAGCGTGGCAGCCCGTGTGCTCTGCAGGCCGGGCAGCGCCGGCTGAAATGGAGAACAGAATGCGCATCCCGTGCAGGGCAGAGGAACAGCCATGGGGCCTGCAAGCCCCCAGAGCGGGGCAGGAGCCGGAAGCCTCTGCCTGGAGCCCTCTGGCCCTGGCCTGGTGGGAGCAGCCCAGCCACCTGTCTCCTGGCCTGGAGGCTCCCCTGTCACAGTGGTGCAACCGGCATCCCCCCTCCTCCGCAGCACACACTCCCCCACTGGCGGAACCAGAGCCCCTCTCCCCCCAGCCCCCTCTGCTCTCCTGGGGGTCCTGTCCACTGCCACAGCCCCCTTTGCCCTCCGCACTCTTCATGCTGGGTCCCCAGCTCTGCCCGGTGGGGGTCCCCTCTCCAGTGCCCTTCTGAGCAGTGACCCCGTGTCACCCCAGCCTTGGCTCTGGTGTAACGACACGAGCTGCGAGGCTGGGTGGGGGCTGGGCTCCCGCGTCAGGACCCCCCATGGCAGGGGCCTGGCTCTCGCATCCGCTGCGGGGCACTAGCAGAGACAGGCCTCCACCGCAGGGGCCTGCCCCTTCCTGGTGCCGGGTGCTTGGAGGATCAGCAAGCGCAAGGGGGGCCAGTCTCGCAGGCAACAATTTCTGCCCCGGCTTGGTGGTGGCGTCAGCTCCTGGGAGGGGGAAGGGCTCCTGCCTGACTCCTTGGGCTGCAACTACATTGGCCTGTTTCAAAGCTCCCAGGGCATCCCCTCCGTGGCCCTGACTGGGGGGGGCTGTTTCTGGGCCAGGCAGGTACCAGGCGGCTCTTCCAGCCCTGGCTTGCTATCTACAAAGGGAATGGGGGGCGGCTCCCCGCAGGAACGGGCGCCCTCGTGCTCCGGGCGCTGCAGCAGGGCCGGGGAGCGCGCAGGCTCTGGCTGCTCTCAGGGCTGCTGAGGTTGGGGCGCAGGCTGCGGGGAGATCTGGCCTGGGGGGCTGGGGGAGGGGGACAGGAAACAGGGGCCACGTGACTGGCCAGAGCTGTTTCTTCCCTTCTGTGTGGCTCCAAGGCCCAGAGCAGGCTGCACCACCTGGCCTCCTGGGGTCTGCCTGGGGCCCAGCTGAGGGTCACCACTGGAGTAAGGCAGCCTCCCGCCGGCCCATCCAGGGCGACAGCCCAGCATACAAGTGGCCCAAGGACCCCAGGCTCCTGCCCTCTGCCCTCCATGCCACAGGGAACTGGTCAGTTCTCTAGCTCTGGTGGCCTCTCCCAGCCCCTACCTGGGCTCTGTACAGGGAGCTGGGGTGCACCACGGGCCCTGTGCAAGCCGGGACAGTGTAGGGCAGGTGGGCAGGGCCTCAGGTGAAAGGGGAGGGGCCAGGACCCTCACTGGTCTGTGAATGGTGGAGCCAGTGAAGTCTTTGCCCCCGCCTCCTGGAAGAGCCACCAGCTGTTCTTAACAGCTGGCAGTTTCCTCTCCCAGCGGGTGGGAGTAGACTTGTGTGCGCTCCCCCTCCCCCAGGTCAATCCGGGCCTGGGGGAACACGCACAGTCTGCCCCAGCCCTGCAAGGGAGACCCCACTTCGAGTCACCCGCCAGCTGAGCGGCAGCCGCTGGGTGGTTAAGCGCCAAGCCCCCTGCAGCGCGGTCAGGGCTTGGGAGCCAGGGGAGCACGCAGTCTCCTCCCGCCCTGCAAGGAGCCTGGGGGGAGAGGGGGGAGCGCAAAGTCTCTTTCCCCGCCCTCCAGCACACGGTGCTTAGAATCAACCTTGGTGGTTACCGCTAAGTGCTGCGCGCTCCCGCGTCCCTAGGCCCCGACTGGCCTGGTGGCAGGGGAGCGGTAGGACCTCCATGGCCGGATCAACCTGCTTGGTGGGCCGGATTCAGCCCACGAGGCCCCTTTTGCCCACCCTGGTGCAAGGCATGAACCCAGCCATGAGGTCCTGAGTGGTTCTTAACGGGCACACGAGCCCACCCCCCCTCCCCCTCGGACAGATCCTGCTTTCTCCCTCGCCGGCCTTGCTGGAGCGCTCGGCCCGGCCCCGGGCAGATCTGCACAGTGGGTGGCACTCACCAGCCAGGGCTCTCACCCCTCTGCTTCCTGGCGCAGGCAGAGGCCCCCACATCTGGGGCAGGGAGGCAGG